ATAATATATATATATATATATATATGTGTATGTATTTATTAAATAATAAACTAAATTTAAGTCAAATTTAATATAAATTTTGAGTTAAATTATTTTTTAACTTCATTGTTTCAGTTTTTAAATTAATATAAAGAGGAACAATGGCGACTATAGAAATAATTAAAAATAACGCAAATTGAACATAATTCGATATCTATGAATTTAATGGAGTACCATTATCACCATTACCATTACCAAAATTATTATTGTTTTATATAATTTCCATTTTCATTATTATTCACTGTTCGCGCGCAGAATTTAAAATAAAATTTGAAAAATGTCTTACATATTATATATGTTGATCTGAATTTTTTGATTTCTTTTATTCAAATTGACATACATACAGCTATTTATATCTTTTATTTGAAAATGACGCACAGTGATATGATTATCTTTTCAAGCTCAGTATCGAAAAAGATACGAGAATACGAGTGTCGTTTCTATGCAAATATGTTAAAATAAATCTAAAGGAAAATATACAATAAAATAAGATAAAATAAGCTGCATAAAAAGCATCAACCTAAGATAAGAAAGAGTTATTTCACGAATGTACTATCTAATCCACACAACAAATATATCATGGTGAATTACAAGGACTATGAAGAATATGTTATCAAAAATTTATGACTGTAGAACAAGAATATTTCCACCGACATAATTCCTTATACGCATTTTCTGTTAAATTAATCTCCTGTTACTGGTACGTTTTCGGAATAAACCATTTGGTATTTCATTCCATAAAATACGGAAAATTAATTCTACATAGATTTTAATTGCGCTTGAAAAAACAATCGTGAAACTCTTAAATTAATATTTTATATCATAACTCATTTCATTTTGCTATTATATCGAATGCTAGGAACAGTGTAAAGCTCGATTACAAAAGAATAGTAAAACAGTCGAGTAACAAGCACATTTTCTGAACTACATTGTGTGGCTGTGTGTGTGTGTGTGTGTGTGTGTGTGTGTGTGTTTGTGTTTGTGTGTAATGTAAAGTACACCAATAGTTATATCGTGTAAACCCTCATAGAAACGAATTTTCCGATACCACACACGTACGTACATCTGTCACAAATTCAACACGTGTCCGAAGATTATGACGTAATTTTACCCGATGTCACGCGTCGTTGTCTAAGAAACAATTTACGAATGGAATCGAAATCGCGTGCCACGCGAAACAATATATCTTCATATAAGTCTCTCTGACGTCTCTTTCCGATTTCCGGAAGAGAACGTCGCGGACGAAGACTGGCGGGTACGTGGACTATAAAGAATCGGTATTGCCGTCGTTCTAACACGATTTAACCAAGACGTTGCTGTGAAGACGACCGAAAAGTCATCTTGAAATCATTCCCGTCACTCGACGGAAATGAAATATTGGCGGGACATCCCTCCTCAGGGAATGGCTCTCCTAATGGAATTCTATCCAATTCGAAGAGCCGTTCAATTCGTTTCAATTACAATGATCCAAAGCTGAACAAGTATGTCGCGGGTATAACATACGCTGCGTACAGAATCGAGTGAAGAGAAAAAAAGAGAGATGACATTTTCTCGTGTTTCTACCTAAAGGAATTTCATTCCATTCTGCAACGAGAGACCGCTTTTTGGTGTCCAAGCGAGCAAGCGCGCATGCATGTGATAGAACACATTCCTGGTTCATCCTCTCTCACGCGCAAAATAGATGATATTATTCGCGTGCCGGTCCATCGCGATATAAAAGTGAAATTATGCAATACGATGCCATAATGGAATACAACGAGCGTGCTGTGCGCATCTCTGTGTTGAAACTGAAGCAGATATTCGGGGTTATTTCGTTTAAGATCCTACTACCGATGTATAAACTGGGCTGAGTAATTATTAAAGTAAATATTAAAATTGCGTGTATTACGCTGATATACTTAACTTTCGACTACAGCAACGAGTCATTATTTAGACCCGAAACAAAAATTTTTGAATGATTCTATTGGGTTATCACGAAATTGGAAATTAGGGAAGTCAGAAAATTGTCAGGGAAATTAAAAACTGTCAGGGAAGTCAGAAAAGCTCAGAGACTTTTGCAAAATTTTCTGAAAAAATTGAAATTCTTAAAAAAAATTTAATATACAGACAGAAAAAAATGTTTGGTTGAATTAATTAGAATTCTGGTGGAAAATGAACGATCCAGAATTTTACTTAAATCTACAAGAGAGAAGAGAGAAGATTTTTGATTGAATCTTAAAATTCTAGTTGAAATAACCAAGATTTAGTAAATTTAATCAGAAATCTAGACTTAACCAAAATTCTGGATCGTTCGTATTTCATCAGAATTCTAGTTGATTCAGATAAACATTTTTTTCCGTGCATATATCACATCTACGCAGTTTTGAAATACTATCAACTTAACAATTAAAACAATGCAGCGTCAATAGTAATTTATATTACATGTTAAATTGATCTCTCAACGAAATATTTAACGGTTTCCAAATCAGGAAATATAAAAAATATTATTAAAAATCAGGGAAAATCATAAAATTTCTGTCTGGGAAAAGTGATGGAATTTTAGGATGAGAAATTTATGACAATCCTGTTGTACAATCTGTACGATTGATACTATAAGTAAATAAATAAACTTCTAATTGTAGATGAAGAACTTTAATCTTCCCTCTATCAATCGCCGTAAGGCGATGGTTCACTTACATTCTATACTTCAAACAGGATGTTTTAGAACTTAGGTGTAGTTTTCATAGCTGTAGTGGAGTAAAAGAAGATAATGTAAATTTGATAGAAACAATTTAGTTCGACGTTTGCGTACGAACCACAAAGTATGAGCATCCATCAGCTCAGCGACGCAGTCAGCGAACACCGATAGACTTTCTGCCAGGTAGACTTTCGAACTTTGTTATCGCGTTTAATTAAACTATAAATTAAAGCGCAGCCGTTAGCGTTTCTTATATGACCGATAATGCTCCTTGTAAACTAACTCCCTCGAATCGATATTACATCCTCTTCCTGAAGGGAACACGTGTTATAAATTAAGTTAGTTCAACTAACTCACTCACGGAAGACATGTCAAATTATTTAACGGATTTCTTGATGGAATTAAAGGATTTGATATTTGGAGACCGAGATTTTAAAACTTTCTAAAGCGGATTAACGTCGGTTTCTTGGAATCTCTTCCAGCTATAAGTTACTAAGCATTATAGCGCTACAACTACAGTTTACACATTGTGTGTCCATGTCATCATCTTGCATGGACACGCGTAACGAGGTGTATCTCTCTCTCTCTCTCTCTCTCTCTCTCCGTATTGCGCGACATCCATGTATATAGTATGTGTGTGCGACGGCCTATTCAAACGCGCCGCTCCAGCGGCGAGGCACGCATATTTTCCGGCCCTAAAGCCGACCTGGTCTAATCGAAACGCGGTGCGTGCGTGCGTGCGTACGTGACGTCTCTGCCAACAGCCGCAAACCTGGCCGGTTGGCCGGAATGCGACGTAACGCGTGCAATTAGGCATACCTAGGACATCCACGCATCCCAGCTGGCTCAACATAGGCTTGGTGTTGAGTTGACACATGTAGCAGCCACGATCGGCCTCCTTTAGCCCCCGAATATGCAACTGCCAAGTGGCCTCCTCGTCCTCCCGCGACTGTGTCTGGTTCTTCGTCTTGGCGTTCTCTAGAGTAACGAAGAATCGAGTCGACTGGATCACCTTACGATCACCCATTGATAGAATCGTCTGATCTTCGGCACGTAGCCATCCCACCTGCGGAACAATGATAACGATATCGAGAGTTTTCTTTAAAAGAAATGACAAAGATTTCGCGGATTTTTTATCAATCGAAAGATCACTGGAGGAGAATCAACTGGAAAGATTACTTTTCTCTAACGACTACGGATTTGAATCACCGAATGAATACCGTACCTCCTACGTAAATTGAAATTTCATTGAGAATTTAATGCTGAGGAATTTTCGGCAATGGTTTCATAAATTATCTTCTCATTATCACACGCGAATACCGGGATAAATGTATAGAATATTTGGTTATTGCTGCGTTATTTAATAGCTGATATGCAATTTGGTATATCTATTTTTTTAGCGGCGTGTAATACAAATAATGTAATAATTCTCTACTGAAGAAATAAACATGAATGATACGTCATAAATTTTCTGCGATGAATAATCTTTCTGCTTTCAAAAGTAACAGGGAAGATCACTGTTGGAGGAACGATGTTACCTCACTTAAGTTGGCTTCCCGTTGCGGAATGTTATTTTTACGCGACTTTAATGGAACGCGAATGTCTGTTTTATTTTCTAAAGGTTAGTGGAGTAGATGCACCAGTGGGAATATCCGCTTAAGGAATTTATTGTTAAATTCTACAACTTCTCAAAGATTATCCTTAGAAATGAAAGAAAAATATGAAAATTGTAAGATCACAAGTAAATGATCTTCTAATAAGTATTTTAATATCAAATGTATATATATATATATAAAACACATTTTTAATATATTGAAAATTCATATTTACTGCTGTAAATAATCTAGATTCAGTTATTATTTGCTGATACACATTTGCTTTATATTTTTTCCTGTCGGTCCTATTATTAACTTGGGATAGTTGGGATAGCTCAGTGCATAATCCATAATGATATTCAGCAACCGCGCAGAGATTAACATCAGACATCGTCTTTCGCTCGTGTCCCGCTACGGGTTTGACGAAGCCAATATGAACGAGATGCTCTCCGAACAATATTATATCGCGCGCTATCGTCAAGTGCACACGTGTATGTATTCGTACGTGTATGTATGTGTGCACGTCGGCAGTAATTGCTTTTAGGCAAGTACGCATATTGTACCGGCTTGCACCCCCTAGGTTGGGTCGGGCCGGTGCGGTTGGCGGCAGCATTGCAGGAATCAGCAGCGACGAAAGGTTCAATTTAACGTCGTATCTAGGTACCATCACTTCACTTAACCGCCGCCAGCCTTCGTCGCGTTATCTCTAACGATGCACTTGGTAATTAATCTCAAGTGACTGTTGTGTGATCCATATAACCATCTCTGGCCATATGCGTGTGGCCGGTTACATGCCGCACTAGGGCACAACCTGGACTGATGTTACCTATACACCTGTGCGACACGCGTGTACTTCGCCACAACCTCAGCGGTGAGCTTAGACGAAGGGGTGATCGTTGAAAATAAGGTCTTGAAAACACACGTTAATACCGTACACCGTCCATTTGACACGCGTTGACACAGGATTGATCGTATAGTTATAATTACATATGCCGAGACCCTTATTTTAGAAGTGACACAACTTAAAAAATTAAGTTTTTCGAAAGAGAGGAAAACTTATTTTTCAACGACAGAGAATTATTGACTAATTCAATAATATCAGCAAAAAAAGAAAATATACTTTTAGAAACACGATCAATTATCATTTCTGTCATTTCCGTTTTACAATCTTTAGAAAGCATCTTTTTTAAATTTTGACGACTCGATATCTTATGAAATTATATTGTAACAAATCCGAATAATTTATCAAAAGTGACATAACTTGAAATATCACTAATAGTTTGTAATTTACTTTGATCAACTATAAAATGATTATTCTTCAATTTCTTCTTCAAACTTCAATTACTAAAACTCTAAATGTTTTCATGGCGAAGATTCTTTATTTTATTTATAAAAACGATACAACTAGAAATGTGTCGTCCTTGTAGAAAATATTATGATCTTTTTGAAAACGACACAAGTGTTATTTCGCAAACAGACTGTGAAGTTACATTAGTTTACTTTTGATGATTGCCAGAGTAATCTTTACTTAATTAAGCGAACAATATCGTACAATATAGAATAATAAAATTTTGTTTTTCCGAAAGAAAATTTATCATTTAAACATGCACTTAAAGATTATTTGAGATGTTAAATGAAATACTGATAATATAAATCAATAATATATGAATTGTTATACATATATCAATTTTTGTAATTGCTAAATAATTGCGTGATATAAAATTTTAGATTCTTCTTCGAATAAAAAGTCAAAGTTCCAATGTAAAATTTCAAATATTTTCAGATAAAACGTTTTATTTTAAACAATGTGAATGTATACTAGAATCTCGACTATATATATATATATAATAGATAAAAAGATTGGAGATAAACTTCACTAGAAAATTAAATTTATTTTCTGCGAAACAATATTTAAAACTAAAAGGAATTGGAAGAGAATTTTGAATTTTTTTTAAAAAGCAATTGATTATGAGTCTCTGTAAGGAGTTTCCCTTTGTGTAACGGTGCTATTTGCGATCATGATAATGGGAAAGCGGCGAGTCGTGCGCCGCATAGCTTAATCGAATCGATGTATAAGTAGTTCAATATAAATCGAGTTTCCGGTAAAGGCGAGCATTTACGCGAAAAGCGGAATGCCTTTAGCGATCGAAGGAACGGAAAGGGATTAAAACGAGAGAAAACTGAAAGATGACGGAAGTCGCCGTTTGAATCCCTTCTTTATCGAGGTACAATCGATAGCGTTTTAAGTACATTGTCATGAAGGAATAACAGTTTGTTCTCTATGAAAGGAAAGGCACTATCGGCGCCGACTGTGGGGTCATTATCTTTACGGAGAAGATAACGATTCGTTCGATTCTATTCCAGAATAATACTATCCCACTTCCTCTGTGGAAACGGCATGCTTATCGTATAAAAAGCTCTTGGGGGACTTAAACGACGACTTAGTTCGGCATTTTGCATGGTCACGATTCTGAAAACTGGTGGATATCTGTAGTAAGTAATCCACGACTCGAAAGAATGATTAATGAAATATAAATCTGAGGTTTCTATTTCGCTGCACGTTTATAGGATAGCTTCTTTCTTTTACCTTCGTTATGATTCCAACAATAAAGGGCATATTTCAATCGCTAATCCTCTAATGCATACTTTTGATTGGATTTCCCCCCGGGGTTACTCGATATCCTGTTGAGAGAGGGAGTTTTATTGTAATATTCATATATAGATGCATTACATTGAATCCATTTACGTGTAAAATCGGATATGCTGCATCAATGATTTACAGTTAGTCAATATTTAATGTTTTTTTTTGTTTGCTGACAAAATTTTAAGAGTCTGTAACAGATATTCTTTATATTTTAATATTCTATTTTTTCCAATTTAATTGCTAATAATGCAATTGTCTCGTATATTTGATCAATTCTCAGAATATGACAGATGGCATTTGTGTCAAGACGGCTTTCGTTATGGATGCTCAATATGCTTAGTGATAATCCTTCGCATCAAAGAGACTTAATCAATATTAATTGGACTCTACATTAATTAGAAACACAAATCTTCTCTTCGTGTATAAAGCATTTCGTTGTTGAAAATTTCCTTCAATTAAATATGTAAATAACAAACAGAAAACGTTAAATGTAGTGTTTATTGTTTGTGAAATATTAAAAATATAAATGAACAATGAAGCTTTCAGTTTGATAATGGACAATTTGAATAAAAGCCAATAAAATATTTTATATATTTATTAAAATAAATATGATTATTTATGTCAAATATTTCAATAATGATTCTTTTATATAACAATATTATACATGAGTCATGTTTAAAAATATTGAGTAATGTTGATTAACATTGAATCATCAATATATTTATAAGCATACACCGCCGAAAAATATACGAAATTAATTTGTTATTAATAGCACGATCATATATATAATTATATATATTCTATTATATTGTATATAATGTATATATTGAATAGCAGTCGAACACATGGTAAATAAATTGTATCTACGTGATAATTATCAAGTACCTAATTGCTTGATCGAATCTATTGCAGTAGATCACGCGGAGTGATTGCGCGCGGAACTGAATTTAATGAGATTAACAGGATATTCGGTGTGTAATCTATTTGAGTCCTTTGAACAGGATAACTGATTGTCCCAGTAGAACGTTACACACCAATCATTGTACACGATTTCTTCTTTTCGTCACAATTTGAGAGTTACTTCTCCCAAGTGTGCAGTTTCATTGTGTGCCTTAATTTAATAACTGAAATAGTATTTCTCTAGTTATTCGTACGTACGTTCATACTTACGCTACCCTCGTCTCCGGGTGCGCTTTTATCTGAGGATTTTCCACGGTCTCGTTACAACAAGAAGCGCTCGTTGCAACAGGAAGAGACGTAGAAAAAGACTTCCTCTGCCGGCTGATAAATTAAAAACGAGTTCTATACTTATCCGGACGGAACCGCTCGACCGCCATTTCCTCCGCTAGCCTTTGTAAGAGCATTAGCACCTTGAATCTAAAGGCTTACGTTCCTCGGTCGCCGAAGTATAAATCTACCTCTGTGAATCGTCCTGAACCGGTGCTGGCGGCTACTTCAGTGTTGAAAGTCTCTCCTCATACTTGGCCGTTCAAACGAGGCGCAAAGTATTTTTTCTTGGAAAAAATAGTTACTGAACGGGCTCGATGGCTAACACACACACATACACACACACACACACACACACACACACACACACACACACACACACACACACACACACACACACACACACACACACACACACGCACGCACGCACGCACAGTATATCCAAAAACTTACGAAATTCCCCGATGGGGACGTTTTGGCGGCACAGGCGGTTCGTACTACCCCTCCGGTGTAATATTTCGAAAGACCTTGTCTTACGAATCTACGTTAGCGCTAAGAGATTGCTCCTCATACTCCTTTACCCGCGACTGCTTTTCCCCT